ATACACTTGAGTGAAGATGAATCCGTCCTAAAAGTCATAATTCTTAGCTTGAACTTCGAATTTCCACTCTCAACTCTTAACTTTTCGATTCCAAACTAGAAATTAGGTATCCCGAGTTAAGTCCAATGATTTCAACTTTAAATTCAGTGTTTAGAGCATGAATTCCTAGATTTAAATCGTAATTCCCAGTTAAGAATCGAAATTACGAAATTAAAATCGTAATTCAGAGTTTGAATTGAGAACTCCCAATTTAAAATCATCGGAATTCCAAAAGCTAACTTAGCATTTGAGTATATAAGTCAGAATTTCGAAGTTAATGTCGAAATTTCCAGTTTACAAACAAAATTTCGAGAATAGAATCTTAAATTAGTGTCACAACATTAAAATACAATTTTATTTGAAATCCCATTTTTGAAGTTTCTGTAGTAGTATAAATGTCACACTTAGACTAAGCTTCTAACTGAATATCCCCGCACTGAAAACTTCCCCCTCCTCCGTCTTTCTTCGCCTATGCTTCTCCCTCGTCGACCTCCGATCCTATCCCTTGATCCATTTGATCATTCTCAGCTCGCTGCCTCCTCTCTAGATATCGTTTCACCCTTTCCAAATCCCTCATGCATCTCACAATGATGTCTCTAGCGGTAGCGGCATCGGTAACCTGCTTCTTCTTCTCCAAAGAGGAGGTCGATTTCCTACTTTTAGACTTCTTTTCGGAATCTTCGATCAGACGAATAGATGAACTATTTACGCTCCTCGATTTCCTCTTGGAGAAAGACGACTCTTTGTTTCTGGAAGGAGCACCTCTCAGACTACCGGATGGCGTGGACATTAATGCAAGTGAAGGCAAAGAGGCGAAATAAATGAACTGTCAAAAGTCGACTACAAACTGTCAAAGCACAGGACCGGATCGTCCAGACAGGACCGGATCGTAGGTTTACTAGCTATGGCAATGGAAAAATATTGAAAAATATCAACAAAGCTCAAATTCCTTAGTAAAGGGAAATGAGTGTGTCCGCAATATGCCAATGTTTGCCAATTGACAATGCCGAATCGATGTAGACATGTGTCAATAAGCCAGCACTTTGCCAATGAAAATCGCTCAAGGGTCACTCATGAGAACAGAGAGTGGGTAAATTAGTGAATCCTCAATTCTGACGATATCACAAACTACAGAGCAATTTCAATTTTATGTAACTTTTCTAAACTCTTCGAAATATGTGTGCAAAATGTTATGTACTCCCATATTCAAAAAGTTATTTCTCCTACTCAGCATGGTTTCGTACAACAAAGATCATGTATGACAAATCTTGCATGTTTAAATCAATATCTCTGTATGTACCTGGACAAGCAAAAACAAGTCGATGTTATTTATTTAGACTTTCAAAAGGCCTTCGATCAAATAGACCACTACGTTCTTCTCAGCAAATTGACAAAATTGGGACTCTCTAACCAACTGCTCACTTCTATTTTAGGTAACCACATTGTAGACTCACGATATTCCTAAAAGATAATCATCAAGTGGCACAAAAAAATACAACTTAAATTATGTAACTTCAGTGTATGCACACCCCTGTTAACGTAAACTGTTCTACGACACTGGCTAAACAATATTCAGAGTCGTTTGATGGAGCAGACAAAGTCCCACAGAATAGCCAACTCAGGCACCCGACATAACGCCTCTTGACTTTTTCGTATGGCAATCCAACCCGGGTCAACTGAAGGAAAAAAATCAGTTGTATATGCCTATCCGAGAACAAGAAACATGTTTGAACGTTCAGGATTTTCACTTCGACCTATAACTGATTCATAACTCGAATTGTCGCAAACATCATCCGTGAAAAAAGTTTGTATTCGCTGAAACAAACATTTTTCTATTCTCAACTTTGACCGGTTTACCAAAGTTGTATTTTCCTTTAGACGATTTAATTTATACTTTTTCTGCAGAACTGTTTTTGTTACCACCAGGGTGGAAACACATGTTTTTGAACTGTTTGACGACGAACCCATAATTTTTTTTATTTATCCCTTCAAATACAGAAATAACATGCGTCTGGAAGCCTAAAATTAACTCCGTGAGGTCGATTCGGTAGAATACGTAGTTTTCCATGTTTATAAATTAAAAATTACTGTAATGGAATTTATTTATAATAGGTAGATAAAATATTGAAAGTAGGTATACATTTATTTACTTAAAAATCTAGAGATAGGTTCTCATAGTTTCTCTGCCAAGCCCAAATATAACCTATTCCGTTTTCAACAAAGCTCAAACAATCGTTAAGTTGTTCTTCTTCACCAACTAATCCAAATAGGTGTAATTTGGATTAGTTTGTTTCTTGAAACGATTTTCCACACACAGATTCTTTGAATGTTTTCAATTTCCTTCCCAAAAGGATAGTTAATATTTCTTCCTGGATGCCGCTGACTGACACTACAAGCAACGCCACACAACACAACGATTTCCACATTGTCTTGTGTGAATTGCGAGGTGAATTTTAATTTTTCTCAAAAAAAACTTTATTAATTCTTCTTTTTTGGTACCTATATTGATCTCCTGCGATAATTCGGTTTTATATTCCCAATCGTCACAGACGGCCGTCCTTTCATGGGTCTCTTCACACTTGAGAACAGCAAAAAGTCGCCTGGAGACTAATCTGGTCAATACGGTGGCTGAGGTATGATTACGGTGTTGTTTTTGGCCAAAAAATTGTGAATTACAAATTTATTACGAAACAATTCGATTCATTAAAATCTGGCATTAACCAAGTTTTGCTTCGAAAGACTACTGTGGGAAAATTTCATTGCAATTGAATTAGTCTTGTACTGTTCAAAATCTTGTTTGAAATCTTGAAATTTTATAACATGCCCAGTTCAAATCGCTAGAACGGAATTATTTTGAACACCTACTTATGAAACTGTAGGTCACTGCCTAGTTTACAGAAACGTATGATATTTTAGGTTTGTTTTGAAGTGAATTTACGGTTAGAAACTAGTCAAACTGGATGAAAATCTATTAAAAAAAAATTGCGAGGGTAATAAGAACGAGTATTGACATATCAACTCCCTAACCTTCAGAATCCGAATCAGATCCACATTGAAATGAAAAACTAGATGAAATTTGCAACAACAAAGACGAATTTCTGGGCGGTGCCTTCATTTTTTTCTGATGAAAGGACAATGTGTGTGTTTTCTGGGCAAATCACATTGAAGTATTCACCAAAATTGTGAAATTTTGGCTGTTTTTCACTCTTGTCTCAAGCACAAGTTTACTGAGGAGTCAAATTTCGAATAAATATATCGTTAAAAAATCCATATGTTGCAGACAGCGTTTATGTTCAAGGAAATAAAAAACTTACTACTTACATCTGACTTATATAAATTGATGAAATTTTTCATTCTATCTCTGCTTCACTGACCTCCGGAGTAATAAAATAGTTTGACTAAAAAGCTGTTCTTAGGTTAGGGCGCTAAATCTTTTTGTTCCCATTAAAAATGAATAAAGAACTGATGATTATGTAGATATGTATCTATGTCTATATGCTTAGTCAGGTAACTAATTGCTTTACAAAATCGAAAAATCATTAGGAAACAGATTCTGATAACAATATACCACCCATTATACTTCTTTACAAAAAAAATCATTACAGTCAGGTACTCATGATAGTACCGATTGTGATACTAGTTTTATTGGAAAAAAACAGTTGAAAGGAAAAATACCACTGAAAGTATTATTGAGGTCTGGCAAACAAAAATTAATTTCAATCACACTGGTTTTATAATGAAAAATGACTGACCCAAATGAAGTTGTTGCGAGAAAGAAATGTATTTGGCAAACAAAACATCAAAAGCACTTTGAGGTTAAAATCTTTTCATAATCCTCTTTTGGGCTAATTGTGATCCCTATTTTGTAATATTTGACTAAGAGAAAACTACGGGATAATAATTAGGTAATAATTTTAGGCTTTCCAATAGCATCCAATGGCTTATCCAATTTTTATTTTGTATTAGCCTAAGGACTTGAAATTGAAGGAGGATATTACCATAATAATTACCTACTAATTGTTTTCTTTGTTTGAGATTTAGTTCAGACTTTGGAGAACTTGAAAACTTGGTTTAGTATTTTCGTAGTTTTTCTCAGTAATGAACATAAATGACAACGTGGACATAAATTTCTTTTCAGGAAGGTTCGAGTTTCAAAAATAGAATGTCAGATATTTTGAAATCATGCAGAACTTTCTGATCTGCAATACTGACTTTAGATTTTTTTCTAAATATTATTTACACTATTAATGGAAAAAAATTGTTTTGAAAAACTGATCGCCCGATAGCTAAACCATAATATCTTTCTACGGCCTTTTATCATTAATTTTCACCTTCCACAGACTGAAAATAATTAAAAGTATAAAGGATATTTTACATTGAAAAATCTGCAATACTGACTTCAGATCTTCTCTAAATATTTACACTTTTAATGGAAAAAAATAGTTTTGAAAAATTGATCGCTCAATAGCTAAACCATATCTTTTTACGGTCTTTTTTCATTAATTTTCATCTTCCACAGACTGAAAATAATTAAAAGTACAATGGATATTTTACAGGTGTAGTAAAAACAAACTTTTAGTATCTACATTTCAACAAAGTAGTTACTGTGTGAATACCGTTTCTTGCCAAAGGAAAAGATATACTCAAAATTTATTACTCAAGCAATTTCACAGATAAAAATGCAAGAGTAATGAAAATCTATATAATTGATCTCTGGAACGGTTCATCAGATGTTATTTTTGCGGAGTTGAGTGGTGAAGAAGAGAAAACATTTATTAGGAAAAATCGAAGTGAACTAGAAGAACTGCATATGCACAAAATTTTGTATCTATTGTCATTTCAATGTATTTTTTGTCTGTGAATGTGAAAATAGGGATCCAAAACTATAATATATCCAAAAATTGAGGCACACAATCTAAACGAATAATTTCTAGTTCAGCTGAGACAAAAACAAGACTTACCTGTGATTTTGAGTTTGTCTTTGAGGATACGACATTGTATTAGTTTGAACTGCCCCATGATCAATCCTCATGGAATGAATTTCCATAGCATACACATTTAAGCACAATTCCTACAAATAACTCACAGCGTCATCACTTTGCAGCAGCCACATTATTGTTCTTCGATCATGATGATTTGTTTTCTTTTTCAATGTTTACGTTTATTCCGAGGAGGAAGGTCATCGGGGTTAATGAAACGTAATTCAAATGGCCCTACTTTATACACATATTGATTTAGAGATGGACCCAAATGTATTTCAAGAAGGTACAGGCCTAATTCTCGAGGGAGAGTGAAAATCGTGATTCTGCCACGTCGAAAGTATTCTGTTGGTTCACTGGGACTCGGAATCCGCAACCAAATATTTTTTATCCCGAATTTAGGAGTATTTACTGGGAATTGAAAAGGTTAAACGTTAAAAACGTGGTATTTTGGAACCGTTATTTCCACTGTTAGCGTCGTTTCGATCAATCACACTACGTTACTAATTTCCTCACGAAAAACACGTTTAAAAAATTGTAAATCCCGAACTTTTCACTGATTTAGAGGCTAGAAAATACAATTTCTATATTAAATCAACTGCTATAGCGCCATATTCGACATCTTGGTTTAGGTTTAACGTGAATCGCACGAAAACAGGTCCGGGATGGTCTATCTTACCGAGAACAAGGGAAGGACGCCAGTGTAGAGAGAGACCGTCATAAAATAATCAACGACACGACGCAGCTGTTTCAACAACGAAGCCACGTCACCGCGTTGCCAGACTTACAATAATTACAGTTTATGACTAATTAAAATTTTATACAATTTACGAAATACACTTCCGTCTTCCGTATTTGCATCTGACATTTAGGGTTGAAATGAATCAAAGATACAGAAATGAAGGACGTAAATTTTTCTTCCCAACATGCCCTTGAGTTTAAATCGAACGCAAGAATTCAATTCAAAATATATATATGAGAGGCCGTATTCACTGACAAAAATATGTCTGTGTTGCCCAAACTGATGTTGCTGGTGAGAAATTCAGAAGGCAAAACACGTTTTCTTAGCGTCACTTAGTGGGATGTACGACTTTCAATGATTTCTATATCAAAAATTGTGTAATTAAAATGTAAAAAATCTAATAATTTGGCCTCAATACAGAACGTGTGCTTTGAAATGGAAATACAGAAACTTTTCTGTACTGATGAAAAGAATTTAGGTATGGTAATATTTTGGTCGATGTGATGTGATAATTGAGTTTCGGTGGTCCGGCAACGCTGCACACCACCCAAGCCATGTAAATTGCATTTTGCGGTCATTTTTGAGTGAAACGAAGTCGATGCAAAAACGAAAAGAATTTCAACAGTATAAAGAAACTTTTGTCCCGAGAAATGAACTGAAATTTCGTAAAATTCGATATTCTATGAAAGTAATAAATAAATGACGTATTTCTTAGAGTTCGTGCTAGAGATACTCCATTCCACTGTGTTCTCTTTCATTTTTTACCGCCCGTTCTGTGTGTGAGAGTGAGATGAAACGAAGACTGTTAGTTTAAAGGGGATAGACTGAAAGACGTTTATGAAAAATGAAATTTGTGAATAAGTATTTTTGCCTCTGCTTTGAAAAAGTACCCCAATCACCTACCAATTAATTGAAAACAATAATTGACCTATACAGGACACTGAATACCTAGGTACCTACTTAAAACCAGTTTTTTTTCAAATCTTGCACTATAGTTTCTAAGGGGGTAGGTCTACCTTACTTTATTTTAGTAAGTAGAACTTTCGTATGTTAAATGTATCTGAAATCAGCAAGAAATTGTTGTTGCTACCTCTGCCTACAATAACAGGTATTCAATCTTACGTCTTACGGCATAGAAAGAAGGTAGGTACTTTTTTCTTTCTTCCACAATCGTCAATATAATCTTCAATATGTAAAAACATTCAATAATATCTGAACAAAAGTACAGAATGAAAGAATGTCTATCTTGCGGCCAGCATACCAACGTAAATCATCTACCTTTCCAGGTAATCTCTACATAGGTAGGTAGCTATACCTATACCAAAGAATAGAACTGATGTGAAAACAGTTTTACTCTTATTATTGATACTCTAAAGAGGTAGCGTAAGTACCGAATAACTTCTTTTTTTATTGATTTTCTACCCAACCATTCAAACTCAATAAGTGTCTGTCCACTCTCAACCATCTGTAGATGTAAATTAGTATCTGAAAATATGCGTAGAATAGAGTCGAGTTCAATTTAACCATGAATACATGAAAATATTCTGCTTCTGTAGTACTCCATGTTGTATCGTTTCAATGTCGGATTTGACATAATTAAAATCAACACACCGATACCTGTTTTCGAGATAAGAGCTGAGGATACTCAAAATGGTACCTCTCAAACCATAATGACTTAACTTTTCAATGAGTATGGCATGTGATACACAATCAAAAGCTTTGGTCAAGTCGCATAAAGTGAAATGAATGTGTTTGCCCTGATGAAGACCCTCCACTATGTCATTCACCATCTTGTAAGAAGCCTGAATTGTGGATATGTTTTTCCGAAATGTATATGTATCTGTAAATATTTATTTGTAAATTGGTATCAGTAAATGAGTATCTGAGTAGGACTGGATTACAAACAACCCGCAATCTGTGCCGTGGCAATTTCAACCATAATCTGTAAATGTAAATAGGTACCTGTGAATAATAGGTATCTGTAAATAAAAGGTAAAAGTGGAACCTCTGGCGTAAAATAAATCCAAAAACGAGCACTTTTTCCAATTGCCAGAAATACGACGCGGGTTTCAGGAGATGAAGAAAACTTTTCTGGTGCTTGTTTTGGTGAGTGCTTGTTTTTTGATGTAGGTATCTCTATGTGTAATAGGTATCTGTAAGATTAACTGAGTAGGAACAGATTACATACAATCCGTAATCTATGTCCAGACTCTTTCATCCATTATCTGTTATTAATAGGTATCTGAAAATGACAGATATTTGTAAACAGGTATCTGTAATAGGTATGTGTAATAGGTATGTGTAAAAGGTATCTGTAATAGGTATCTGTATATAAGTATCTGAGTAGGGCCAGATTACATACAACCTGTAATTTATACTCATACTCTTTTAACTATTATCTGTAATATAAATAGGTATCTGTAAGTGATAGGAATCTGTAAACAAGTATCTGTGGATAGGTAGATATATGTAAATAGTTATCTGTAAATAAATATCTGAGTAGGTATATGCATTTATAGTATATGTATTTATAGGTATTTGCATTTATAGGTATATGTAAACAAGTATCCGTGGATACGTAGATATATGTAAATAATTATCTGTAAATAAGTATCTGTAATAGGTATCTGTATATAAGTATCTGAGTAGGGCCAGATTACATACAACCTGTAATTTGTAACCATACTCTTTCAACTATTATCCGTAATATTAATAGGTATCTGTAAGTGATAGGAATCTGTAAACAAGTATCTGTGGATAGGTAGATATATGTAAATAGTTATCTGTAAATAAATATCTGAGTAGGGCCAGACTACAAACAACCCACAATCTGTTGCCGAACTCTTTTAACCATAATCTGTGAATGAAAATAGGTATCTGTGAACAATAGGTACTTGTAAATAGACATCTGTAAATAATAGGTATCTCTAAATTTTCAGGGAGAGTGTTGGACAATATGACAAAAATTTTGTACCCAGTAAAGATATATACGGCACACCAACCACTCCACAAGTGAGAATCATATATTTTTTATACTTGACATGAATGAATTCGAAATATCTGTCGAATCTAGAAACAACTGTTGTTCCGCTGCCAAAAATCTTCATCAGATAATAAGAAATTGGTGCGTTCGGGACCATTAAACTATCAGTTTTATCTTTAAATACTGATATTACATTTCTAACGTTATCTACCATGTTGTAATGTATTTCATAAATATATGGCAGATGTTTTTTCGTCATGATGCCGTTCATATGAAAGTGATAGATAATATTGTTGCTATACGAACCGTTATGTCCCTCACTCGAAAGGAATTGTTATAACAGTGTGGACGTCGATTACTGATGGGTGAAGTGCCAACAGAAGAGCAGATGGAATTTGAAGAAGCCCCGGGCACGGTTTTTATGAAAAGAGGAATTGTTATGAAATATAAATACCCATCCACTATGAAAACAATTCCGAATCAATATACAGCTCTCAGTATGTTTGTAGTGTACAGGGTGTTGTTTTGCAATTGACTAACGAAGCGGTTTACGATACTGCATTTCAGTGACGGCTCGTGCATTGGAGAACAGGGGAGGCTAAAGTCATAAAGGCTATATATACACACAGCCCGTCGGAGGCGCGAAATTTTTTGGGGTATCGCACCTATTTGTAGCAAAATACGTAATATTTGCATAAATGCAAACAAAAATTGAGTATTGCTGAAAATTATACGTATAAATCTGACCATTAAAGAAACAAAAACAAGGAAAAAGGGTTGTCTTAGAGTTATTTAATATATATGAACTCTTCTTAGTCAATAAATAATACTTTTCTCTTCTTATATAAGACTTTTCTTAAAAATTCCTAAAAACGATTGAAAGTTGTGATGTACAGGTAATATAGGTAGTTTCATCAATTTCCCATGCAAAAAAAGAAACACTTTCAATCTCCTTGCTTATATTTTCCTTAATAATATATGCCACACTGTCAATAAGCTAATTTTGGGTGGTTTTTGAGGTGCCCAAAAAAACGCTACCGTTTAAAAAAGTGCCAAATTGTGAATCATATTTGCCCCATAACATTAAAATTTCCTTGCAATTGCCGCGATTAATCGAATCTTCGGTTTCATCGTGTCCGCGAAAGGCTAATTCTTGGGAACCCAAATAAATCGTAATATCGGTGAGTCTTTTTAAATTCGACCGATTTTCCCTAACCTATATTTTGTTTGCTAAACAATTTTAATTTACATGCTCCTTAGATTTAAAATGTCTTTCTATAGAACGAGGTCAATTTTTTAAATTGGAGTATCCTATTTTAGACCACGTTTAGTTTTCGGTTTGTACGGAAAATAAAACACAGGGCCAAAAAAAAGTTTTTCTCGTTTAATGGAGCAGGTTAACCAATCACATTTATCGTACCAACTAATATTAAATCCTCGATTTTGTCGATTATCTGACGCTTTAATTGAAATCGAATTTTGTTGAGGCCTTCCTAGAGTTTTAATAATGTAAAATTTATTATCATAAGATAAAGACTTGAAATTATTTGTCGGCAACCAATCGACTATATCGTCAGAGTTTTTAAAATATTACCAAAAAGCACTGCTATAAGACAATAAATACTGCCTGTTTTATACACAAATAACAAATATTATCAAGAAACACTAAAACGATTTACCAAAATATTTTTCAGTTCCGGTCCGTCACGGCATCCCGTCCGAATAATTAAATGAAAAACAAACGCAGTCGTACACTAACGAAGACCAACTGGAGGCTAGCCTCCTCTAACGCTATGATTTCTGCAACTAAAATTACAAATCGTGACGTATGTCGCTGGTTGGATCGGTCTCGTGGAGCCTGTGTTTTTTAAGGTGGTCGGAGGCTTGGCTCCCTTGTAACGTATGTCATTTATTATTTCGGGTTGATGGTTTATTCGTTATTCGTTCATGGGCGCTGCGTTTGAGT